AACGTAGTTAAAATAATTCATAATCACAATACTGAAATTAGGCTACTGAAATGTAATTGAATAAATAATGAAAACATTTCAACATAAAACATTGCAATAAAAACATTTAGGCTACATGAATGAGGCTTTACAACTTTAACAGCATAGCCTACAGAAGACAGCTCAGTGATCAACGCAACGACACGAGCTTCGAGGAGCTTCATTCGACCCGAGATCGAATCTCAATGTAGCATACATGTTGTTAACCGATGTTGTCCTACGTTTATATTTTCCCACCTTGATGCTTAAATAGATAACTGTTTATATCTGTTTACTTATTTAAAGTCAAGAGTTTTGTTTGATTATCATTACAACATAAATTTGCTACATTCCTGTAGAACCGCAGCCGCTGCACAAACGACAAAAACTGATGAAGGAAGATTGTCAGCCGATTGCATCAGAAAATGAAAATGAAGAAGCTCGTCTTTAGTCTGCTAAATTATTGTGTAATGCAAAAGAACACTAAAATTACTTAAGTTTGAAACCAAGTTCGAACATTTCAAGGTTTAAATTGTTTAATGTAAAACAGGGTTGCATCTTGTTTAGAGTTTATTTCTTTTGCGATGCAAAATAAGAAACACTAGGCTAATCTTATTCTTGCGACTTTTTAAATTTGTATTGCCAAAGAAATTACAGCTAAATTAAACAATTAAAACAGTAGGCCTACAAAACGAAAATTGTCCAAAGAAACATAATTAAATTAAAAACATGCGTTTCTCTTTGCCTCTCTCGCGCTGGATCTCTTTTTAACAAGTTTATTTAGTCTCCCTCGCTGCGCGTGCGGGTCTCTCTCTCGAAATTAATCATTTCAGGGTAAAAACACATCATACAGCTGATAATACTGTATATGTCGCTGCGTGTCAGCCATACAAATCACGAAAAAATTATTTAAGCTTTAATTTTTGCTTCAAAGACACAGCATGCCTTGTTGAATTCACCTTACAATAACTTCAATTGAAATTTTGTGTGAAAAAAACTTTAAATAGGCTACAATAAATAAACTACAATATTTATAATTTAATAAGATATGGGGTCTACATTTGGACACAGATTTATCCTTACAATAATTTTGCCTGCTCATCAGGCTGGCTATCCGAAACTCTCCATATGAAAGAGGAACATTAACACCTTTGTCCAGCAATGTCCCTCCAACCCCCCACAGGCTATCGGAGTCTGAGGCTGACTTAACACAAAGAGAAGTCGCAATTCACACTTATTAAATTGCACGAATTTACACGGAGAATACACGGTATAAAAATAAATAAAACTCGCGTGGAAATTAATTAATGTAATGCGGAACTACTGTTAGATACGCGGGTTCTTTAGGGACACATAATCTGTACCATCGGCTTTGCTCTGAATGCGCGTTCACTTCAAACGTTGGCTTATACGCGCGTCCTATTCGCTTTGGACTAGCGTCGAACTAGACGCGATAGACGCGAATTTAACGCTCTATTCGCGTTTGGTGTGACCGCATAATGAACAGGCTGCGATGTCAAGATTGCAATGCTGGAGTGTGTGTGTGTGTGAGAGAGAGACGCAGCCGCGTAAAAAAACATAAAAAACATACTCCGTCATTTTGTTCATACAGATCATTAAACCTGCAAAGTGTTTACTTATATTTGTGTACACTCGCAATAAAACACAACATTGTGCTTTTGTCACACTGTAAACTCTTGTCAAACTGTAACCTACAACTGTCACCCAACCAAAATCTCTCTCTCTCTCTCTCTCTCTCTCTCTCTCTCTCTCTCTCTCTCTCACCCCTACATGCCCAGACACACACACTCTCTCTCTCTCTCTCTCTCTCTCTCTCTAATATTTTGACCCAATTCCTGGGTTGTTTGGGTTTCTGGGTTATTTTCCTAAGAGTAACCCATGTTCTGGGTTATAGGATTCTCTCTCTCTCTCTCTCTAAAAACTCCTGGGTTATTTCTTCAACCCATTTTCTGGGTTATTTGTGTTGGGTCAAAATTATGGGTTATTTTTTTAGAGATTAACCCTTTTCTGGGTTATAGGGAGGTGAATTCAGATGAGAATAATGTTACATTGTTAATTAATAATGTTAATTAAAATTAAGGAAAACAAATATATTGATCTGAAATATAGCAAATTAATTTTAAATTAATTCAGGTACAATTACCAAACATATCGCAAGGTCTTTTTGTCTTTTTATTAATTTAATTAATAAACGAATTATATAAAACTATTGTCAGTGCACTACAAATAAACTGGTTCTATGCCTTTATTAATAAAACTTGTTTAAAAAATACAATGCCTTCTGCATTTTTGTTTTGCTTTTCCCTTCATTGTACCGAAATCGTACCGAACCATGATGTCTGAACCGAGGTATGAACCGAACCGTGACTTCTGTGTACCGTTCCACCCCTAATATATATATATATATATATAGGCTATATATAAAGTCGTTCTGTTGGATACTATTTTTTTTCCTTAGTGTGAAATGGAAATGCATGATAATTGTATTTTATAAATATAAGCAAAAAAAAACTGTATGGTGTAACAGAGTTTTAGAGCTAGACAAATCTAAATAAATATAAAATATACAGCAGACCTTGTTTGTGCGGGATTTGAACCCGTGTCATCTTGATGATGAACCCTAAGTTCTACCGCTCGGCTATGAATTTACTCACTGAGAAATACCCAAACGTCTGTTTCTCACATGAGCGATTTTTTCATTTAGCCTGTGAGTGTAGGCCTATACTTTAGCCATTTACAGTTTTAAAAGATTATATCTTATCTGTATGACCAACAATTACGGAGTAGGCTATAAATGTTTGTTGTAGACTTATTTGGAAATTACCATAACTTGTAGAATTTCATCCTTAGGCTACAGACATTAGCCCCACTTACGTTTTGCTAAATGTCCCTTTGCGCCACCTGGCGGTCGTTTCGCGAACGACTTTGAAATGCGACTGGTTTATTTTGACCGCGGTGGATGGCTAAAAATGGTATGTGGATGGCTAAAAGGTGTGACTAAAAATGTGCTTTTGGCTTTCATTTATATTTTGATTGTTTGTATATATATATACACACTACCGTTCAAAAGTTTGGGGTCGGTACGATTTTAAATACTTTTAAAAGAATTCTCTTCTGCTAACCATGGCTGCGCTTATTTGATTAAAAATACAACAAAAATCAGTTATAGTATTAAATATTATTCCAGTGTAAATCAGCTGTTTTCTGTGTGAATATATAGTAAAGTGTAATTTATTCCTGTGATCAAAGCTGAATTTTCAGCATCACCAGTGTCAGTGTCTTCAGTGTCAAATGATCCTTCACAAATCAGTATAATATGAGGATTTGATGCTCAAGAAACATTTATTATTATTATCAATGTTGAAACAGTTGTTGGTAGTTTTTTTTTTTTTTTGGATTCTTTGATTAATAGGGTTAGGGTTAGAATCTTTTGTAACATTATAAATGTCTTTACTGTCACTTTCGATCAAATTAATTATTCCTTGATAAATAAAAGTATTGATTTCTTTCCTCCAAAAAATAAAAATAAAATTCTCACTGACCCCAAACTTTTGAACGGTAGTGTATATATATATATATATATATACATGTATATATGTGTGTGTGTGTATACATATTTATTTATTTATTTATATATATATTGTCCTTGCATTCTTTCTTGTGTGACACCACTGAATGAAAGGCTCATTAGTATGCAGTCTGCTCAGGTGAGAACTGCCTAATTATTCATGAGGGGGTTGGGCCATTCCGCCCATCCGCATATTGCCTTTGCAAACAAAAAAATGTTTTTCACAATTTAAAACAATCTATTGTTTTATGTGAATGATTAGGCAGAATGATTTTCAGATCAATTCGAAGCAAAAACTCTAGGCGACAACATCCACTAGTCAAAAGTCTTGTGGACAGATATTTAGTATGTTATTTGTGGCCTTATATTAGAAACTTTAGTTTTTAGTTTTTTCAATAACCATGCATAAACAATATTCTCTCAACAATACAAACATGTATTAACATGTTGTTCACATATTATGGTAGCCCTGTGTGTGCTATATAGAGTGTAATTTAACCTGTGCCATTAATATGTTTATAAGCAACTGAAAAAAGCAGAAATGTCAGAGCATGCCAAAACATCTCAAGGACCCTGAAAACACCTCAGACCCCAGAGGGTTAAATCTTATTTCCTCAAATTATATGTAAGTGTGAACTCGTGAAATGAATCAAGTTCCTATAGGTCCTTGTCTAAAGATCCTTACGATTTCTCCCATATTTAGGCTTTGTTATAAATTAAGGATGGGAGATATTTTCAATCACATAAAACTGCAAACAAAACAACCGGAACCTTAAGGGTTGAAATAAACCATATTAAGTATCACATTTCAATAAAAACATCTAGCAGCCCTTTTTATGGTCAAAATGGTAAATTAATTCAGTTGAGGTTTTTAATCCCTATGAGCATTTTATCAATGTATAAATACAGTTCAATTTGTTTTAATGTGATGGTTTGTATAGATTATTCATAGGCTAGAAACATACTCGGGTATGTAAACGTGAATGCTTGGCCAACGCATTGCAAGCGTTTGGTTTCGTACCGTACATACTGTAACATTTAATCTTGCTATCAATTTATGGTAATAAAAAGCCTATAGGACTCAAAGGGGTGATCGAGTTACAATGTTTGTTTTATTTCGTCAGGGCTCCTCGAACATTACAGGCAGGTAAACTGCTTTACGCTGAGAACCTGCTGCATTATGAACTCTCTCTGACGCAATGATGAATTAACTCAAGCTCACGTATCCAGAAATGTCTTTATTCACTTACATGCGTAGAGTATGTTTCAGGCCTTAGCACTTTCCTAGCTAACAGGGAACGTTCTCACATTTGCACAAAAACGTTTTAGTTGGACGTTCGTCTAACGTTTTTGAAATGTTACTTGTTTCAGAGCGTTCAGAGAACATTCAAAAGTAACGTTGCCACAATGTTTGCAGAATGATACAATGGAATGTTTCCTTAACATTCACATAACCAAGAAAGACGTTTTTGAAACATAAAAAAACTGTACATTTCGAATGTTGAGAGAACATACCGAAATAACGTTTTCATAGCCTAATGGGAGCGTTAGCAAAACGTTCTTAGAACATATTTTGTTAGCTGGATTTTTGTCATTAGTAAAGTTCTTGGTGGCTGTGGCACATTTCTTGAAAGAGAACAACTGAGGGAAATGAATATGATAGAAATAAGCGTTGAGCACATACATCAGTGTGAAGAACTGTACAATATGAAGGCAAAGGCAGTGTGCACTGGCGATAGGCTTTACTTTAGACCTAGCGGCACGTCTTCGTCAGGGGAATGTAAGGACAGAAACTCTGCTGACGTCAGTAGGTTTGGCAGGGTGTGTGCGATATGGAGCGCGAGCGCGCTAGAGGACCGTGACGCATCTCCTTACTCGTCGCGCTGTCCTCGGCCCGTGTCTTTCCCTGCTCCTCTTTCATGAACAGATCCATCATGAGGATCTTCTCCTTATGGATCTGTAAACTGATGTCTTTGGGGATATCTGGGATTATCCAGTCCACAACATCACTCATCAACATCACCACATTCTGCACAAATAAATCACCAGAGCTTAGCATGATTTTAACTGATGTTCTGTACACACTTGATTTCTGAGCGACTAATCGCATTTTTTTTTTCTTTGGGAATAATTTAAGGTAGCACTGCCCTTATACTGTGAGTCTCGCACAGATGAGCCTTTCGATATTAGACACTCACCTGAAAGACAATGACAAATGCTAGTCTGGCGGCCAACACGGCCCAGAACTCCTTCGAGATCTCGTATGGCGTCGGAGACCACGGAGGCTCTCTGTAGTCTTTATACCTGGAGGAGAATGGCATTAAACATGTATGTAGAGTGGAAATGGAGCTGTTCTGATTGTATTCATACCTGCAGATGTCCACACGGAAGCCCAGGTGGAACGGCTCCACTGGCGCGGTGCCGTTCTGGAAGTGACTGACATTAAAGTAAGACAATGTGTGGTTGACAAAGCCGTGCATCGAGCCGTCCTGGCTGTACATGTACTGATAGACCAGCCTGGGAATGAAGTCTGAAGTGAAGGAGATCACAAATGCCTGGAGGAAAGATGACAGTTATAAGAAGATTTCGACATGTTATTGTACAAAGGTGGCGTATTAATGGAAGCAGAAAAAGAAAAAAAAAGAAAAATACTAAGTATGAACTAATGAATCATGATTAGTGTGTAGAATCTTTAGCTTTTAGAGTTTTACTACTTCTGAACAGTTTTACAACCTTAACTTGACTCGTGGACATTTTTGACTTTAAGTGAAGTTTGCCAAAGACAGGAACAGTGCAAACATAAACTGTTGTAATGTGACTTTTAGTAACTTTAGTTTATACTGTTCTGCCTCCACTTTCTAGTTTTAGTCAATTAATAAGTTAAAGTTAATATGGAAGAAAAAACATTTGGTTGCACAATCATTACTTACAGTACAATTGCATTTGTCAAGGTATATCTCTGGATCAGATGCGTGTACGACAACAGCACTACAAACTACCTCCAATGTTCTTAGTCCTAGTGCTACAATTTTAGTTTTCAATGGCATTAACTCAGTGATGGGTTGAGGCGCTACAGTATAGTTAATTCAATATTATGGTTAAAATCACTGGTCATCTCAGTGGGAATCCAAACTGTAAACTGCAGTGGTCTCAAACTCAGTTCCTGGAGGGCCACTGTCCTGCAGAGTTTAGCTTTAACCAGGTCTCGGCGAGAAGGACTGCCGATTGCCTGGGGCCAGCGTAAACGTCACTCAGGACAGTTGATCCAACTATCACTTGCCCGATTATGCCAGTGCTGCATCACGAAAGAGAGCGCAATTCAATACTGAGAGAATTTTTGCTCCACTTTCCTTCCAAGCGTCTCAGTGCCTTCTCAGGGACCAGTACATCGTATTGACACGTGCCAGTCTGGTGTGAATCACAAGCACAGCTATGACATTAGCAGCTGAGAACCTGGTGCAGAGCCCAAGTCCACATCACAAAACCTTTCAAATGTGAGTGGAGAGGATCAGCCCGTCACATCACACACATCTTGAAGGGATACTCCTGACAATAGGGCTTTAGAAGCTTCCATAATCCTTGTTGAATGAGCTCTAACAGCCATAGATGAAGCTTGTTCAGAAGCCTCGTTAGCAAGTGAAATAGACTCGACTATCCACTTTCTCAGTGTCTGCTTGGTCATGGGATCTCTTTCATGGGCGAACCAAAGAAGAAATAACTGGCCTGACACGGCGGTGAAGAGTCCTTGGGCGGCCACGGCGGTGACCTACTGCCCCCCCCCCCCCCCCCCCCAAATTTTCTTTCTGGGTAGCTACGGGGACATAGGCTGGAGCAGGCGCCGGCTCGGGAACAGGAACGGACACCGGCTCAGGAACAGACTCCAGCTCAGGAACAGACACCGGCTCAGGCTCAGCCATCTTGTGCAGAGTCTCTGGATCGGCAGACGTGACGTGCACAGTCTCTGGATCGGCAGACGTGACGTGCACAGTCTCTGGCTCGGCAGGCGTGACGTTCACAGTCTCTGGCTCGGCAGGTGTGGCGTGCACAGTCTCTGGCTCGGCAGGCGTGGCGTGCACAGTCTCTGGCTCGGCAGGCGTGACGTGAGGCTCTGGCTCGGCAGGACTGGACGGGACCAGCGGCGAAGGCTCTGTGCTGGACGTGACGGTCTTCCTGGCAGCACATGCAGACATTAACGGAGGATCGGCCACGATGGAGATCGGTCCTGTACGGCCATAGACCGATCTGGTGGTTGGCTTGATTGCTGGCAAGACGTGGAGCGTGGTCTGAGGGGACACCGCGGGTTCAGGGAGCTGCTTCTCCTCCTCGCCCACAGTAAACGAGGAACCGCTCCACCACAGGGCCAGGTCAACGTACCTTTCTAATGACCCGTGTGGCTCACCGTCAGGCATCAATGACCGGAGAGGCTCTGACAATCCCCCGCGGAAGAAGATTATCAAGCACTCGGTGCTCATTTGCGCAAGATGTGCCAGCTCGAGGAATTCTGCGACATAATCCTCGATGGCGCGATTATCTTAGCGAAGACGGATGATCTGGACATCAGGACTCCAGGTAGGCATGGCTGCTGGATCTAGGTTTGGTGAGTTATTCTGTCATGAAGAGGTTGAAGCAAGGAGGAAGCAGGATCCAAATGCAGCACGTGTATTTAAATACACTCAAACTAAACAAAGACTCAGGCAAGGGAACAAGACTCGGGAACAGAACAACCTACAACGACACACAATCAAACAAGAACTCACAAAGACAGGGCTGAAACACAGGGCTTAAATACAGGGGTAAACGATCTAGATAGGATAACAAGGGGACGTGGTTAACGGGAAACACCTGGGAAGACTAATAGACAGACAGGGAACCACTAAACATGACAAGACAAACCCACACCGTGACAGTAACTAAGCGACAAAGCGTCCTTTTAAGACTCACTTATGACCAAGTAGTATGTCCCAAAGCTTGCATACTCTTCTGCTTCACACTCAGTATTTACTTTTTCTTCTCAAAAACAGTATATACATTTAGTGAATAGTATAAGTAGGCGAATTGGGACGTAGCAGCTAATATTGTTTGGTCCCGGCACTCTTTATAGCTTCCTGGTTATGATGACATCCAACCATTCCATTGAACTGATTTCACACGTACTTCAGGACGCAATCGCAGAAGAAACGCTCCCACAGCGAGGCTACAGTGACGCAGCGAGGGTTTCCTCGAAAGGGAACTTCCACACAGATGAGCTGAGTCTCCAGAAGTGAAGTTTGAGACCACTGCTGTAAAGAGTTCTTTAGTCTGTGAATACTGTTACCCTATTTGGATTGTACTTGTTTCACATGGGGACATAAGGTGATTTCAACATTTACAGGGGTCAGTCAGTGATTTTATTGCTTTCCTAAACCAGAATGTTAGTGTTTTTTTCTCCAGCCACCCTAGTAAAAATTCCTGGTGGAATTACAGTCGAACACCAAGGTCGTCAGGAGATTTAACTGCCGTCCAAATCCACATCTCTGAGATTATAAGAGAGGATCAATCCTGAAGTCATTTTGTAAATCTTTCTGACCGCTGGCGAGCATCGTGCGATAACTGTTGCTCTTTGTGGTGATGTGCACACATTTTAAAGACAGAGACGTATTACTGAAATGCTGGAAACCGTTTAAAAGAATAATATTATGTCACTGATCCACTACAGTGAGCGGGAGCTGTTAAGAACAAAAGCGCACACACTTTTGAAACTATTTCTACTAATTTCCACGTTTTTTTAAAGGAACACTCCGACTTTTTGGGACTTTAGCCTATTCACCTTATTCCCCAGAGTTAGATAAGTCCATACATACCTTTTTCATCTCCGTGCGTGCTATAAGTCTGTTTGACGCACCCACCGCTAGCCTAGCTTAGCACAAAGACTGGATGTAAATGGTTGCAGCTAGCATACTAATCCAAATAAGTGACAAAATAGCGCAAACATTTTCCTATTTACATGTTGGGATTTGTATAGTCACAGAGTGTACAAAAAACGACGTCACATGAGACACAGACATATTTTAACAGTATAAATACTGGGAACTATATTCTCTGAAGGCGAAGCACTGCTACTCGGGCGGAGTAATAACCGCAGCACCTGAGACGTATAGACGTATTAGACATGGCTTTGATTTCATAGCAATTTTAGAATAAAAAATTACTTTATTTTATTTTATACAAAAAATAAATATTTTTTATTTCAGTACATTAGTTTTACAGTAAACTTAAACTTCTATAAGTGCTTCACTTCAGCAATAATCTGGTGCATTTCCACACCTTCTCTAATGGGGGACAGTTCAGGGGTTAAAATGCATTATAAGTAAATAAAGTTTATTTGTATAGCACCTTTCACAGACAAGGAAGGGTTGCAAAGTGCTGCACAGTAATACAAATAAACAGTAAAATAAAATAACACCTGTACAAGTACAAACCTAGTACAACTCCACAACTACCATCAATTTCCATAAAAAAAAAACAATACTACACTGATTTAATTAAGGCTTCTCGTGGTGATCAAAAGCGATGCTGGAGAGTACTAAATACTGTGCTCAGCCGGGATCAAAAAGCAACTGTCCTTCCAGAAACCAATGTCAAATATAATGAAAACCCCTATCTCAATTATGATGATCTTGCCAAAAGTTTTAACAACTATTTCACTTCTATAGGTGAAACTCTCTCAAAATCAATAAGTCCTCCAGGGGGAGCTTCATATCACCAATATTTAAAAGGGAATTATCTGAATTCTTTTTTTCTAACACCTACTGACAAAATGGAAGTTTTGAAAATTATTACGAATATGAAAAGCTCTTATACTGTTGGTGTGGATGATATATGTAGCAAAATTGTTAAATCTATTGCAAATGAAATTCTAGATCCACTTGTCTATTGCATAAACCTCTCTTTGTCTCATGGTGTAGTACCAAAAATTGCAAAAGTTATACCAATTTATAAATCTGGTGATAAAAATAACTTACAAAATTATTGACCTATATCCATCTTACCCACTTTTTCAAAGGTACTCGAGAGGGTTGTGTACAACAGACTTAGTGGCTACCTGGATAAAATGAATATACTCATCCCATCGCAATATGTGTTCTGCCCTTTATCTCAAATGCCTTGCTTGAGTATGCAGTCAGATAACGCCTCCCAAAGACAACAGACACAGGGATTGTTTCCACAGTTTACTGCTGTCCAAAGAATAACGTAAAACTGTAAAAATACAAAATACAGAATCCTTTCAATTTCGATTTGAACAATGGAAGTCAGTTACATGTTTGCATAAGCACAATAAAGGCTTTTACATAGCATATAGTCAGCATCAACTATAACAGAAACAGATTGTGCAATTCACAAACAAAAGAAACTAAATTATTATCTGGGATATAAGATATAACAATTAAATATGCATAGGAATTATAATGTAGCAGCATACATACCGAAAGTGCTTTCAAAACAACTTAAATAAAGGAGCAGTAGTAACCATGACCGCATGCTCTTCTTTGCTGCTTTATTCGGGGAATATCAACCTTCTTACTTGAGTTTAAACCTGAACGGTCTATTCCGAACCTTCATGAAGGAGGAGAACTATCTCATTAA